GAGCCACCTCAACGAATAGGTTAAAATTCCCAGCTGCCAGAGTGTTCTCTAGATCGGAGGAACCTCAGTTTCTGTGTCAGCAGGGACTTGGTGTAACGTCTTGGCTCTAGAATTGTCAATTGTTTTTCTCGGCCATCATTTCCTGCCTTCCTGAAATCGACCACTATCTTCTAGTTCTGTGGTTCTCAGCCTTCCCAATGCAGTGACCCTTTAATACAGTTCTGTGGCAGGCTTTCTTGGACTGCCAGCCCCCAAATCATGACTCAGAGACTTATTAATAATTATGAATGCTCGGCCTTAGCTTAGGCTTGTTTCTAGCTAGGTGGTTTTTTTTTTTTTTTTTTTTTTTTTTTTACTTAAATGATCCCATTTTTGTTAATCTATGTGCTGCCTGGGGGCTCATTTGTCTTATTTACATACATACATACATACATACATACGTACATACATACATACATATCCATCTGTTTTCCTGTTTCCTCCATGTCTAGCTGGCATGGCTGGCTGGCTTCCCCTTTTTCTCTGCCCACCAGCCACACCTGTCCCTCCTCTGCCTAGCTATTGTCCGGTCAGCTTTTTATCAGACCAATCAGGTGCTTAGGCAGGCAGGTGAAATAGCAACACATCTTACAGAGTTAAACAAATATTCTATTCCACAACACAGTTTCTCGTGTTGTGTTATTTCATTGCTATTTCATAGCTGTAATTTTGCTAGTTATAAATCATAATGTAAATGTTTTCTGATGGTCTTAGGCAATCACTATGAAAGAGTCACCCAGCGTTCAGAACTGCTCCTCAGGCCAGAGGCTTCTTCCTCTTGCATTTTCCAAATGCCAGGTCACCAAATCTGTTTGACTGTACCGCTCACCCTGTCAGCCATCCCTACAACTGTGTCCACTACTACATTTGTCCTAGCTGAGTTTGCCATCAGCTGTATAAAAATCCACACCCGTGAATAACACCGGTTTTGTGGCTGATTTTTCCTGGAAACACCTGGTATTATGAGAATATTCTTTCCTTTAAAAGTTTATTTATTAGTGTGTGTGTGTGTGTGTGTGTGTGTGTGTGTGTGTGTGTGTGTGAGCACCATGACCCAGGTCAGAAGACAACTGTCAGGAGTTGATTTTCTGTGTTTACCGTGGATTCTGGGGATTGAATTCAGGTCCTCAGGCTTGTTAGCAAGAGACTTTACCTCCTGAGCCATCTGGAAAGCTCTGTTGTGAGAATTTTCAAGAGACCGAATTTACTGATTTTTTTTATTGTCTGATATGAAAGTGGCGCACTCCTTTTGTTCCTAAATCATTGTTACTTTTTAATTTATGTGTGTGTATATATACGTAATAATATGCCACATGTGTGGGTGTCCGGAAGCCATTGGAGGGCATTGAATCCCCTAGAGCTGGAGTTACAGGTGGTTGTGAGCTTCCTGATCAGGTCGTTAGGTGCTAGAAACCCAACTCAGGTCCCCTGGAAGAGCATCACTGAGCTATCAGTGAGTTTTGATACCGACCTTAAAAAAAAAAGTTACTACTTTGTCCTTGTTTCTCAAACCAAAAAGAGATTGCAAATGTTTTATGAGGCCTAGGATGGCCTGTCAAAGACAGTGGTGAGAATGAGGACAATGACAGGAATGTCACAGGTGAGTGCTGTCCTTATACCGCCTGTGGCAGCTGAGGAAAGCCTAGAGGCTCTGGAGAACTCCTCCTGGTCTTCCCAGACCACAGTAAGAGCCAAATTCTGTTGCCCCAGCTCTGGGAAGTTGTGTGTGTGTGTATGTGTGTGTGTGTGTCTGTGTGTGTATGTGTCTGTGTGTGTGTGTATGTGTGTGTATTGTGTGTGTATGTGTATGTGTGTGTATGTGTATGTGTGTGTGTGTATTGTATGTGTGTGTGTATGTGTGTCTGTGTGTGTGTTTGTGTGTGTATGTGTGTGTGTATTGTATGTGTGTGTATGTGTGTGTTGTGTGTGTATGTGTGTGTATGTGTATGTGTGTGTGTATTGTATGTATGTGTGTGTATGTGTGTGTTGTGTGTGTGTATGTGTGTGTGTCTCTGTGTGTGTGTATGTGTGTGTATGTGTGTGTGTATGTGTGTGTGTATGTGTGTGTGTTGTGTGTGTGTATGTGTATGTGTGTGTATGTGTGTGTGTCTCTGTGTGTGTGTGTGTATGTGTGTGTGTCTGTGTGTGTATGTGTATGTGTGTGTGTATGTGTCTCTGTGTGTGTGTATGTGTATGTGTGTATTGTATGTGTGTGTGTATTGTGTGTATGTGTATGTGTGTGTGTATGTGTATGTGTGTGTATGTGTATTGTATGTGTATGTGTGTGTGTATGTGTGT